GTTATAGTTGACCATGACAGTCTTGTAGCCCTGTTCACGGAGGGTACGGATAGTACGGACAGAACACCAGTCGAACTCGACGGAAGAACCAATTCTGTAAACACCAGATCCCAAGACCATGATACCCTTATCGTCGAAGGCAACATCATGCTCGGATGCATTGTAAGTCAGATACAGATAGTTCGTCACTGAGGGGAACTCAGCAGCAACGGTATCGATCTGCTTGACGATGGGAATAATGCCAGCTTCAACACGCATGCGACGAACAGCGAGCTCGTTGGAGCTAAGGAACTTGGCAAGTTGACCGTCAGAGAAACCCAGCTGCTTGGCCTGTCGGATAAGAGGCCTGGGAACAGTAGTAGCATTATATGTAGTCATAAGCTTGCCAAAGTCACTGAGACCCTTAAGTCTGCTAAGGAACCACTTATCGATCTGGGTCAATTTCCAGATGTCATCGACACTATATCCAGTGGCCATTGCGTTGGCGATGGCGAACAGGCGCTGATCAGAAGGAGTTTGCAGTTCGCCCTTGATGGACATAAGCGCGCTAGTCTCGTTGAAACCAAGATTGTGGAAATCAACGGAGCGAATGGCCTTTTGAATCGCTTCCTCGAAGGTTCGTCCAATGCTCATGACTTCACCAACACTCTTCATAGAGGAGCCAAGTTGAGTAGAGACACGAGTGAACTTCTTAAGATCCCAGCGGGGAATCTTCACAACACAGTAGTCCAGAGAAGGCTCAAAGCAAGCGCAAGTGACCTTGGTAACAGAGTTCTTGATCTCATTGAGGGGAATACCCAAACCAAGCTTGGCTGCGATAAAGGCAAGAGGATAACCAGTAGCCTTTGAAGCAAGAGCAGAGGATCTTGACAGACGAGCATTCACTTCGATGATACAGTACTCCTTCGAGAATGGGTTGAGCGCATATTGAATATTACACTCTCCAACAACGCCGAGGTGACGGATAACATTGACAGCGGTTGTGCGCAGCATGTTGTAGTCCTCATCAGAGAGAGTTTGCGACGGGGCAACAACAATGGAGTCACCAGTATGGATACCAAGAGGGTCGAAGTTCTCCATGTTACAGACGGTAATACAGTTGTCTCTGGCGTCACGGACAACCTCGTATTCGATTTCCTTCCAACCCTTCATACTCTTCTCAATCAGAACTTGGGGACTGGCGGCGAAAGCCTTCGTGCAAAGGTCCCTCAATTCATCCATGTTATTGGCGAAACCACTGCCCAGACCTCCGAGAGCGTAAGCAGCACGGACAATGACAGGGAATTTGATGTCCTCCACGACTCGGAGAGCCTCCTCGAGGTTGGACGCCGAAGCAGACTTGGCGCATTTCTCGTTAATCGAGTCCATGCTACGAGCAAAAAGCTCACGATCCTCGGTGGTAATGATAGTGTCAATTGGTGTACCCAGAACCTTGACACCAAGAGACTCAAACTCATCCTTGAGCTGGATACCGACTTGCAACGCGGTCTGACCACCAAAAGTGACGTAGATAGCATCGGGCCGCTCGTGCTTGATAACCTTTCGCACAAAGTCCGCGTTCACAGGAAGGAAGTACACCTTGTCTGCCAACCCCTTCGAGGTCTGAATGGTGGCAATGTTCGGGTTAATCAGGATAGTGTAAATTCCCTCTTCCTTCAAGGCCTTGATAGCCTGACTTCCGGAGTAATCGAATTCTCCGGCTTGACCAATGCTAAGACCACCACTTCCCAGAACCAAAACCTTCCTGACAGAGACACGAGGAGATGCCTTGACGTTCTCTTCCACGGTGCCACCTGGGAAGGTAACTGGCTTGTTGAGAGCGTCTGGGGAAGCCAGGGTATCCTTGATGCTGTTGATAAACACATCAAAGAGATACTCGGTATCTCTGGGACCAGGGGTGCTCTCAGGGTGGAATTGAACACTGAAGAACGGACGGCTGGTGTGCCGGATACCTTCATTGCTACCATCATTGGCATTCACGAACAGCTCTTCCCAGTCCTCAGGGAGGCTTGTGGAATCGACGGCATAACCGTGGTTCTGAGAAGTGATGTGGCACTTGCCGGTCACCATGCTGGTGCAAGGGATATTGTGACCACGGTTACCGAACTTCATCTTCGAGGTCTGAGCACCGACAGAGCGGGCAATCAACTGATGACCCAGACAGATACCGAACACGGGGGTCCGTGCCTCTTTGAGGGTCTTTGACAGGTTGTTGACAGTAGTGGTCAGTGTGGCAGGGTCACCAGGACCGTTAGAGACAAACAGACCATCGTAGTCCTTACCGGCAAGAGTAGGGAAATCATAGTCCCACGGGACGACCAAGACTTCAACACCTCGAGCGAGCAGGCAGCGCAGCTGGTTGAATTTCAGACCAACGTCCAAGCACAGAACGCGAACCGGACGACCAGAAGGATGTTTAAGGGCAACATTCTCAGGAGGGGAGAAAAGACGTGGTTCCCGAATGGAGACTAATGAGAATCCAGTCAGATACAGCTTGCTCATAAAAAGGTCACTCTTAAGCGCATGACTTACCTTCGTCGACGAGGTTCTTCTTATTCGGGTCAACCCACTCAGTCTGCTCGAAGTACGACCTCCAGCTGTCCTTGTCCACTGGAGCCTCCTCCAATGTTTCATCGGACTTCTGGAGCAGCATGCGGCCAAGCATGCTACCCTTCTGACGGATGCGCTTTGTCAGAGCACGGGTGTCGACTCCGTGCATGGCAGGAACACCCTGTTCCTTCAGCCATTGTCCCAGGGAGGACTCGGCAAGGAAGTGTGAGTAGTCCTCTCCGGCGTAGGTGGCAACGACGAGTGCCGCAATGTGAATCTCGGTAGACTCAAAGTATTTTGGTAATGTCTTCAACAACTCGTCCATGGTCTCCCGAGAGGGAACACCATAGTTGCCCACCAGGGGGAAAGTGACGACCAGGATCTGGCCACGATAGGAGGGGTCAGTCACCGACTCCGGGTATCCTACCATGCCAGTCTGGAAAACCAGCTCTCCTGCCACGCTCTTCTCAGCGCCAAAGCTGTAACCCTGGTAGACTGTGCCATCCTCGAGCTCGAGAGCGACCATCTTCCCACTGCCGTCACGCACTCGAGACGAGGCGGGGGGGATCACGGTGCCACTGGAAACATCCATTGAGGGAAGTGGTTGCAATTCCTTATTGATCTGATTATAAGAAACAGCTCCTCCAGTCAAAGGACTCGAAGGAAGTGCGACCTCCTCGTGACCGGCGGAGTGTGGCATTGGGGAAACTGTGTGGGGGTGGGCGTGGAGGGGAAAAAAGGTCCTCTCGGGGACAGTATGGCAAGGGTATTCACTCTACCGTAGCATCAGCAGCCTCCAAGACTCCTATAGAGAGATGAGAGAGCGGGAGGGAGAAGGGTCTTTTTTGCTGCTTCAGCACAGGAGGAGGAATATAGAAAGAGAAGAAAACTCGTCGACGGGGATGGTCGTATAAAATAAAATTTTGTCTTCGGCGGGCTGAGGGAGCTTTCTCATTGGACTAACCAGCTTACTGATCCGGACATCACTGTGAATTCTGCCTTGATGGACCGCCCGATTGAAAATTTTTTTACTGCATGCAAACTCTTTAGCCTTCTCTGCCTTTCCTCTGTTTGATAATGCCAATGCCTGTAATCAGGAGTAAACTGGTCAATTCTTGAGTAATGGTTTCTAAACTATATACCAAAACATATGCTCTTGAACAAGACAACTAAAACAAATGGGGTTGTTGTTGTTCTAAAGTGTCTCGACTAAGATTATACCACAGGAATAGTAAATTAATCGAAAAATTAATTGATGCGTTTAAGGTATCGTGCAATACTGCAGTTTTAAGTTGCTTCTTAGTAATAGCGAGGCCACCCCCAATTCCGGTTGCGGCCCTTTTGAACTCCGCGAGTCGGGAGGAGTGAAAAGCTCAGTTTTTGAACGCCACCACGGTGCGCACAAGACAAAATGGAGGGGTCTCGCCACCCCGATCGACAGAACGACACTGCAGGCGGTGAGCAGCCTCCCTGTTTTTTCTTGTCCGCCAAGACGCCTCCATGGTCCGTGTTGCTGAAAGCTTCAGCCCTCTGGAATCCAATTAAACCCCATGACAGTACATCTCAACGACGGGGGTTTTTCTTCTTCTCGATTTGAAGCAGGTACATGCTCGGGAATCGGCAACTACGAGATTTTGATTCATAACGCAAACCGGTTTTTTATGTCTTGGATTTATTGCCTTTGTATTTATTGTTCATGATTATGACCATTAATTCGCCCCTTCAAGCAATTGATATATACGCCACTACGTATATGATTATGGTTCCTTCAAAAGGTCCCATTTTACAAAAATATATATACACACAGTATATATATATTTGGCGCTTCTACTTGCATTCCTGAAGGGTCCTTGTCCATGGAACCTTTGGCTATTAGACTACGGAAGATATGAAACCTCATGCTCCACTAGAAGAACAATAGCATTCATACATGAGTACCTACTAGAAGCTGCCACTTTTGATCATTCTAGATTGCACCGCGACCAAATCGTATCCCGAGGTCAGCCACTCTGCCGTGGAGACTTTGATAGGGTGTGCAAATGATCGGTTATCAACTTATGGGTCAGCTGGGAAAAAAGAGTTAAAGTAAGGGCACTAAAATTAAATCGCGTTGCGGCAAAAGTTTCTGGGATGCTCCGCGTCGTGGGAGCGATCTTTCCCCCTCTCCACTACAGCTAATCCTGCATGCAGGCGCATGTGAACTGCGTCAATTGTCCCAGCAAATGATTGCCCTGGCTTGTTTTTAATCTCTACATCCCTTCCTGGTTGATCAGAAAATTACCTCTTGAATCACGCGAACCTCTCTAGAGTGCTGATACAGCACCTCATGGCGTTATATCTTATCTAGTGGTAGGTTCGCGTCGTTGTTTCATCTTCCGTCTCTCCGGGATCATGCATTAACCACACCACCAGTTTCTTTCAAGATTGGGGAACACGGGGCTTTTCCAATCATGCTTGCTTCTCTTCTTCGCCCAAAGAAACGTCGAGTGTACGCAGAACGTTCTCCATTTTCGTCACCCTACACGACCCGGGATTTGCCATGGCCGTTCCTTCAGCGTGGCTCCGAAGCGCAGTATGAGGAGATACCCGGGAATGATGAGGCTGATGAGGCTGATGAGGCTGTCGACGATGGGGAAGAAGATGAAAGCGGGGATGAGGACGATGGTCTTTTCGAGTCCAGTCCCCTCCTGCCCATCTTCTCAGCCTCTCACTTAGGTATTTATCATTTTGTACTCCCCGAACGAAAGAATCGTCTGAGTTGTCTGACTGGTGGCCGTTTCGTTATGTATAGACACGCTCCCCGTTTACGATATCACCCATGCGATTCGCGCACTTATCGCAGCTCGCTGCGAGACCACGTTATCCTGGGACCAGTTGCGGTCGCCCCAGATCTCTCAGTTTCTGGTAAAACCAATCCAGCAACAAATTAGAGCATTTCACTTTTCTCGGGCCACACTATATGCGTTGTTGACCAATTGTTTGCAATTCAACAAAGAAGTCCACCTCAACCCCGGTAATAGTGGCACAAGCCAGACCAGGGCCATGGTGAGTGAGCTTCTTGCCATAAAGTTACTGAGAGAATATACCACGAGAGAGTTGATCGATGCTCTCTCCTATGAGTTTTTTCCTCTCCAGGGCCAGTCGTTGCCCGGGAATTCCCAACAACCCCCGGGCTGGACTCCTGCTGCGGGGAACAAGCGGCCTGGGGTAGCCCGCATTTCTTGCCTCGAGATCGCGATCCGTGCCCAAGCGAAGCGGTTCCTGTCTCACCCGCTTGTTGTACAACAGCTGGAAGCGATCTGGGCGGGCACCATCGTTTTCCATTCGGCCGCAGACTATCTTCATCGCTCACCGACACGACTCGGTCAGATTTCAGGGCCGACGTATGGTACCACCGTTACTGCTACCACCCCCAACCCGTTTGCCGGCAATCTAAGCCCCGGATCGGCTGAGCTGCGCCGCTCAGTCACTCTCTATGACCCGAGAGATGCCTCTCTGTTTAAACTCTCCAGGTTGAGGGTTCCTCGCTATAGACAGTTTCTCTCGACGCTGTCGTTTGCTGTATTGCTGGCATTGTTCCTCGCAGTTCTAGACCAGCGGCGTGTGCACATTAGTGCCCTAGAGGTTGTCTTCTGGTTTTGGAGCGCAGGCTTCATGCTTGATGAGATTGTTGGTTTTAACGAACAGGGCTTCAGCCTGTATCTCATGAGCTTTTGGAACTTGTTCGACCTCGGTATATTGTTTCTTCTTTTCTGCTACTATTGCCTGCGGCTGTATGGTGCTTTCATGCCATTCACCCGTAAGCAAGCAGTCGCCGATCAGGCGTATGATATCCTGGCTGCCAACGCTGTCCTCCTCTTCCCTCGACTTTTCTCGATCCTGGACCACTACCGCTACTTTTCACAGCTACTTATCGCGTTCAGGATCATGGCTTCCGACCTGGTAGCCGTATTTTTCTTAATTATAATTGCATGCAGTGGCTTCTTTGTCGCTTTTACATTGTCCTTCGGCAGTGGCGATGATCGTTCGCCTGGATCCATAGCGTATGCCTTGTTTCAGATGCTGATGGGGTTCACGCCGACTGCATGGGCACTCTGGAATGATTACAATACGCTGGGGAAGACAATATTGACTGTGTTCTTGTTCATCTGTCATTTTGTTGTTGTGACCATTCTAATCACCGTTCTCACTAACTCCTTCATGGGTATTGTACAGAATGCCAACCAAGAACATCAGTTTTTGTTTGCTGTCAACACCATCTCCATGGTTAAGTCGGATGCTCTTTTCTCTTATGTGGCGCCGACTAACATCATCGCTTGGCTAATAACACCTTTCCGTTATGTGATGCCCTTCAGACAGTTTGTACGCGTCAACCGTACAATTATTAAGATCACGCACCTGCCCATTCTATTCACCATCTGCTTCTACGAGAAAACGATCCTCAGCTCCAAAGTGATCGAACCTACAGACCTGGTTGATTCTCAAACTCGCGCCGGCACATCGGCCCGCACACGTGGCCCTCAGCATAGTCGCTTCAAGGCTTTCAGTTCTAATGCCCCTCGACTTGTTCGGGAACCCTCTGTGGCAACTTATCAGAAGGATCGTGCGTTGGAAGAGGTCTTTCGACGCCCGTTTCACGGAGAGGCCATGGAGCCTGTAAGGGAGATGGATCAAAGAAAGACCAACAAAATCGTCAAAAATTGGATGCAAACCATGGGTCCTGGTCCGGCCAACCCTCCTGATGAGCAGGACTCGGACGAAGTCAGCCAGCTCGAAAAAAGACCCCACAGGCCACGGCACCCTTCCCGCAGAAGACTCACCCGGAGTTTACGAGATTTCACCGTGTCAAGCCGCTCTGTTGTGTCAAATCCCGAAGATCACGTCGCGTATATTGCATCCTCACCAGCCACTCCCCGTGCCGGAAGGGATTTCATGGCGTCGACGCGAAGACGGCAGCTTTCGCGACACACAGGCATGGAAGGGGATGATGAGCTCACTAGCGACGGTCATGAAGACCAGTCGAATGGAAAAAGCTCTGGCGATGAAAGTATTCCCCAAAACGAGAGCCCCGGTAAAGCAACACCAAAGTTTTACAGCTCTCGGCCATCAACAGCGAAAGTCAAGTCGCGGAGAAACAGTCCCGCCCGGCGCGTTAAGCATCATTCACGGAGTTACTCAGGCGCCACAATGCTATACAGGCCCTTATCCACCACGAGCAATGGTGAAGAAACCGAAGCACCATCGACCCCTGTCAGACCCAGAGCAGAGACACCGAATCACGCGGAATGGATGGCTAGGTCTACTTCTGCTGACCGATGGGCAAGGAGAAGGCACAGTACTGACGGTCGGAGTCGAAATGTTACTATGCCCATCTCGAATCCCATGTCTGTACCGGAATTCGGCCACTTTTTGGTTCCTGGTCCGCGATATAGGGAGCGGGGGCCAGATTCCATTCTCCATGGCTTAGGCTCTGACATAGGAGACAACAAGGCGATCGCGAATGGCTTTGTCGGAGGCGCTCCTTCAAGTCTGACTACCCAGATGGCATATGTGACGGGTGGTATGCGCCGGCCAGATAGCTCTCACAGTAGCAGGATATGCTCAGCAAGCTCGTGCTTGCCCGGATGAACAATATTGAGGAAGGGTTCCGCGAAGTGATCAGAGAGATGAAAGATCTCCGGCGTGAAGGTACGAGCCGAAGTCAGAGTGGACCTGATGAGTCCAAAGGAAATCAGCGCGAAAAGAAGCGCACAGAGAAGAAGGGGAAGAAGGCACATCCTAGGCCTCGAAGAAGCAAGACCGGCAGTGAGGAACAGTCGTCAGATGCGACGTCTGATACCTCGCAACGGAGGATTATAAGATAAGCGTTGGTTTTGAGAATTCGGTGTTTCACTTCTTGTTTTTCTATGCAATACCTTTCTATTATATATTTGTGATGTATGCCACTTTGTTCTCTAGCCCTGCTGTGTAAAAATATTGGGTGGCTGTTTCATAGTTGGATTCAACTTGCAATTTTGATACCCGATGTTTCCCTATACACAATTGAGAAACCATCTGCCCATAGGCACCGTATTTTCTATGTAAACAGTAACCCTTTCCCAACTCCTTCCTCCTAAGCTTGGCGGTGCTCTAACAGTCCTTCCCCCTGAGGCCCATGTTCATCCGTCCTAACTTTCAATATGTTTCGCTTTTTCTCTAAGCTTATATGGATGCCACGGTCATCCTCCCCAGAGATACCGCAAGACGGACCAAGCGCCGCCGCCGCCGCTCATCACGGCACGATTCTGGATCTAACTCAGACAATTGTCGATGCAGTTAGTCTGGCTTCCAGAAGATAATGGAACAGAGACAAAAAGCGGAAAGGAGTTCTTATGGCCGGTTAAATGGTAGCACCAACTCACTGCTCAATGTGGCACCATATTTGTTCTGGGACTGACAGGTAGTTATCCTGCAAGTTATCTCTGAATCGTCGTCTCTGGTGAGTAAAGGGCTTTTTGATTTGATATCGGGTTGAGTTTAACATCTATCCTCAGGCACCTCAAGAAACTCTATGAGGCATTGAACGGGGCTTAGATCATACAGCGATAACATCTGCATAATTCCATCCTCATCACCTTGACGTCAAGGAAGGATAGTGACAGCATCTTTCGTAACCTTTTGCATGTGTAAGCTAACATCTTGAACCTTCTTGGGCTGAGCTGTAAGTGGGACTCTAGACAAACGCACATGTGAACTTGCACAGGACCCTTTTCTCCGCCCAACAGATATCCGACTGATGAGATAGTAAGGTATGTAATATTATTTTTCCACAAGGAACATCTCATGAGCCTATTGTGGGAAACTGGAAAGGCATTTAGGCTACTCTATCCCGTGTTCCTAATGATTGTCTTACCTGGCTGGCACTGCTCGTATGACCGACTGTGATCTATTAGCTAACCCTCTATCAATAGACACACTGAAAAATTTCTCAAGCGATTCTTGATACGCCCCAGCTACCTTGTTATCATACTAGAAGCTTCTCAAATCAACACGTGTGGAGGAGCTCTAGGGAAGCATACAACAATGCACGATTCTTCCAGGCTGTCAGCGGGCTCAAGGGCATATCCCCCAAGATTAATGCATCCTCCCTCATCATGCACAAATATCGATAGTCCTTGTTCAACATTACTTCTCCTTGGCGATGCAGACACGCTGCTGTATATTGATCCTCCCCCGCAGAAATCATACGCCTCAGCCTTGCCACGCTCACCTGGGTCAATCCCCCACCGTATTCATAGCCAGAAACTTCTGGATACTAACTCTAATTACTTTAAGAACCTCTTCCAGCCAAGGGCTCAAGCTCGGACGATCAGTTGCCGCGGACTCGAAGGCAAGCTTACAAATGGGATTAAATACGTCATTGATCTCACTCCTCCTGCGGTGGAAGACGATGCTGTCATATTTCTCACAGAGCTATCGTGCCCTCTAGGGATCAGGAATTGGGCCAACACTACTACGGCTTGGTGGAATTTACCCCCTGTCCACGTTAGTGGTGAAGATGAAGTCAAGCCACCAGAAAGCAAGCCGAGTCTTCCTGTGGAATACTCGGTGGGTCGACACCATAGGGGTATTGAACAAATTATATATGCTTTGGAAGGGTTCTCACCCAAGTTCGACACCCCTTGCGAGTTCTGGACCTTCTTCTCACTGGCTAGACTGTTCGGAGTATCCACTGTGCCAAAAATTAGGGATCTCATATTATCCTGGTTTTACAACCCGAAGAATGCCCGTCTCATAGAATACCGCCCCGAGATTGCGTACAAAATCGCCTGTGGGGTACAACATTATTATCTTTGCCGTGACTCATTTTCGATCCTTGTCGGGGAGGAGACACTGCTTTTATTAGCGAATTCAGATCAACCACCTTTACCAGGTAGACCGCAATGGACCTTTCATGAGCGTTTCCGGGAGCCATTGTTGGACGACGAGGAGCTCCAACGCATCGAATATGCTAGCAAAAGCTTTCTAGAATATGTTATTGATCGATTTGTCGTTCTAGCAGGCTCTGAGATGAAATGGCTTTTCGAATTGTCAAGCTTTCTGCACCTATCAAAGTTCACTCCAGAAACATATTGGGAGGAAATTCTCATGGCCGAACTCATCCTGACCTGCAAGGAGTATGTCCGAGCACGTATCGTGCAATGGTTGGAGAGAGCAAATGGTATTTCGTTACCAGCGGTGGTTGGGAGTATGGGTCAGGATCGTTCGATACACTACAAGTACGCCTATAGCTCAATGCGCTACCCAGAGCGCGTATTGACTAGGACATTCTGGAAGAACCTCATGAACGAACCATTTACTGGAAGCCATTTTTCGGATATTAAGGAGTCGTTTTGGGATTCTACCATTGCCAGTTTGGGAGATTGGGTACCAGCTTTCAGAGCCCATGCCGACGCGAAAATCAGGCCGGTGACACGAAGTGAGCTATGTCAGATGGTGGGTAAATTCAACTCTTTTGTGAACCACCAGATTCCCAATTCCCAAACACAACCAGGGTACCCCTGGAATATGGAGGACAACTGTGACCCAGAGACCTGGTTACGCGGGTTACAATTAAATAGTGAAGGCCCATTCAAACTGGACATGTTCATATTAGATGTACAGCTACATGTGGCTAAGTACGCAAGTGACATGTTTGAGCTGGACAGAGGCTCGACCGAGAGAACCGACATTGTTACCTGTCTAACCGAAAATGAACTCAGATACCTACCATTATGGGCAGGGGGAAATGACGATGGAACTGGAGGGGTCTTCATGGACCAAGATATCCCCTTCTTAGAAACAGGGGGTTTCTCTGCGCCGGGTCCGGATGTCCACTTAGGTAGTGCAGCGTCAACCGCCGATTCAATCTCGATCATCAACACTAAACAAATAGAGAGTACCGTCCAAGGTGCTTCTCACGGGACCACTGTTGGTTATAGAACAGAAGCCATGTCTATACAATCAATAACTGCTGGTTCTCAGAGAGACAAAAGTGGAGGCAGCAGTCACCAAGAGCCAGCATCGCTTGAAGACCACGAAGCAGTTGACGACTGCTCCTTCCTGTTGAATTCATCGGCCGACGACGACGATGATTTCTCTCTTGACTGTGACAGCGATGGCGATGACACTGTCGTTATGGACACTACTTGAGTAATTTTGAGGAAATGGATTTGAACGAGGCTTGTCTTAGTCTTGCGTCTGCGAAAAGATAACACAACTTGCGGAAATACTCGGTGATAATTTTTGGAAGTATTCTGTACATCAGTGGCCACAATTTCTCATAAGTAATGGGAACAATGAAAATCTTTACGTATTGTCTGCTTTCTGTAGGAAAGGCATAGAATAGGATCTATTTCCACGTGACGAAATCCGGGGTTCTTGGCGCGCCGACGTCACGGCATTGTGATTATCGACATCTCCGTTTTCTTTTTACTTACAACCTTATCTCCACTAGGCGCCCACCAAATTTCCTGGGCCGGCGAATAAGTCATTGTCGTACTTTTTCACTCATTCTTTCCAGTGTAGTCTCCCTTATCTTTCTGTCGTACCCCGTGACAGAAAAAGCAGTCACTATGGCCTCATCCTCAAAGCCCCCGAGCTTCCTGCTCTAGTATGTCTATAACCCACCTACCGCACAATCTCATAACCATCCTCAATTTAAGACTAACATATCAAACAATCTGTAGCACTTGCATAGCCCACCGCACCACAATCCTCGCAGAGCACTCCTCCCCAGGAACTTCTTCAACATCCGCCTCCTCTCTCGCCTCCATCATTCTCCCCAAAATCACGCACGAGAAATCGCAAAAGCTTACCTACACCCATGAACGCCTCTTCGTGCACTATATCGCCGACTCTCCCACGGGGGCGAGCGACGATGCCAGCTCCCGCCAGGAACCCAACTCCTACGCTCCGCTAAGCTACATCGTAGTCGCGACCGCCGAACAGGGCCGTCGCATCCCATTCGCTTTTCTTCTCGAAATGAAACGCAAGTTCCTATCCACCTACCCACCCTCCAGCACTGATTTCGCCGCCCTCCCGGCCTACGGCTGCGCCGCGTTCAACAACGAACTGCGCTCCTTACTCCAGACGTATAATACGGCCCCGCCGTCGGACTCGCTCGCCTCAGCCCGCAGAGAAATTGATAGTGTGAGAGATATCATGACGGAGAATATCGAGCGAGTGCTGGAGCGTGGAGAGAGGATTGATCTGCTGGTTGATAAGACGGATCGATTGGGTGGGAGTGCGCACGATTTTCGCATTCGGAGTCGGGGTTTAAGGAGGCGGATGTGGTGGAAGAATATCAAGTTGATGGTGCTTTTGGGGGTGGTGATTGTTTTCCTACTGTATCTGTTCATTGGGATAGGGTGTGGACTACCGGCTTGGGGGAAGTGTGTTGGTCATAGTGAGTGAGTGAGTGGGAAGTGCTCTTTTTGGCCGGTCTGATCTAGCCGTGATGGTTCCCGCTGCTGCGTACGGGATGGGATGTCGGAGATTCACTGCGTTCGGGGACAATAAATTGTCGGCTCAGATTATCACTCGGGGGCTTTACGATGCCATTCACGATTGTTTGTTCTTTTAGCACAGTTTCTCTTCTTGTACTATTACACTTGGTACTTCTACACATAATCCATTCATTTTCCTTCTCCAGGACAACGTGCAGTGTTTAGATATAATGAAACTGAACAATGGACGTAACATTCGTACGGACAATATATATTTATCCTTGCAAACACGAGTACGTCAAATCCTTTACATATACTACCCGAATCAAGGGACGTGGGAGAAAAAGATGAAATAAATTCAATGGTATTGGTTCAGACAACTATAACAAACCAGGCGATAGAAGCCAAGCTTAATTCTTACAATGTAATGTGTCTCACTCTCAAACTCGCAGCTTCCTAGCCAACGCATCAGTGCGAGTCTGCAAGCAAGGCAGATCAACCTCTGGTTTTACCAGATTTAGGTTGCTGCAATTCCTTCTGCGCCATCCGTTTACCTCTTCAACCACTGATCCGCCAAAGACGGGATTGATAAGGAGATAATGTGGCGCTAAATAGGGGAAAAGTCCTGGGGAAAGGAGAGGAGGGATAGAATTTTTGCTTTGCTAAGCATGTAGCAGTCATCGGATCAATGTCCGATGGACAATATTGGAAAAGGGGGCAGAGGGAAGATTCAGCGATAAACTGCATCGAGATGTACTCATCAGATGCGGCTATAGCCTGACAAGGGATATGCCCAATGTGCAGAGTACGCCGGTCTCTTGAGAAAGATAAGACAGAAGCCTGGTCATAATAGCTTTATTGTGTCTCCTTTCGAGTATCACATGTACTCCCACGCCAAATCACCCAGGTGCAACACAGCAGACGAAACGCAGTTCTCCTAAGCATTGACAGCTTCACGTCCCTTTGCGACACACCCCAGGATCTGCTCGCAGTCATTACCGAGCTTGAGCTTGGAGATGTTGCCCATGGAGGGATGAATACAATCTTGTGTGGACTTTGAACCCACTTCAAGATAGGATGATCTTGCCATTATAGGCCATGTTGGAACTGTAATGGTAGCCAAAGCGTCAAAAGTCAACAAAATGAACTGTCAGACCATATTTCTGGTATGATGGTCATCTTCTTGAGCCACTATTGGTGATCTGAACCGGGCTCTGGGTGTTGTGGGTGAAACGCGATCGTGGTAAGTCGTCAGGGGAAGATGTGCGCCAGCGCTAATGTGCGTCACGTGACATGGCGTAGGGTTTGGTATTGGCTGAGGTGGGACCAGAAACTAACGGCTCTTCAACAGGTTCAGGTTACAAGGTTGACCGCCCAAGAGAGGTACCGCCTGCGCGCTTCTTCCCTTACATATGTTTTTCAGCCACTGGGATCAAAATGGTAGGCGGTGGAGATGAACACCGGAAAGTGGAAGTCATCGCGTCCCATTATTGGAAGATCATCGCGATGCGCGACAGAATCATTTTATACTGATATTGAATGGTGTTTGGCACGCCTACCCTCAATTATCTTTCAAGTCAAAGTGACCACCTCTCCGACGAATGCATATGATCTCCCATTGTTACGAATTTCGTCATGCTGAGATACCAAATAGTGCTTTAATTGAGGATAACAGCGTGGCGTTAGTTGTTCAAAATGTCAAACGATGGATATGACTGGCTTTTAAATAATCCACGACCAGATTTATATCACATTGACCACAGATATGAACCTGCGTCTGGACTGGCACAAAGAGACCCGGCTCCATATGTCGGTGTGCCGCCAGCATTACAAGCTTCTATAGCAAATACTTCCGCCTACCTTCACTCCCCGTTTCCTCCAACCAACCAGGACTATATGAGAACAGATGTTCCCTATGCAAATCCCACTGCTCAGTATCAGCCTGCCGTTTCCATGCCAGGTTATTACCAGGGACAGCCGCCTTACTCTACACCGTTAACCGCTCCAGTGACCTCCCAAGGACAGGTTTCTCACCTGCCCCTCACAGATTCCACCATTCCATGGAAATCATACACACCCAGAGAGTCAAATGATGGCCATGATACGAAAAGGCGCCGTACAGACACTTCTACGCCATCAAACCAACCCAGCGTGATATCTACAGTCACTCCCGCCACGTCGAAGCCGGCCTCAAAAGAAAATATCTCGTCCTTCTCCTTCAGCCCCCGTGATACTACAGACAGATCATTCCTCAAGAACCGCATGGATATCGTCAAACCCCTTAGCAAGGTAGATGCTGCTGTAAAACTCAGTTATGACCCGCGGACGATCGCCAGAGATGTGTTAATCGCATCCGGGCGACATCCAACGGAACCGGCATTAAACCATCACCTCGTTCGCTTGCGCGATGTTTTCCTCCATGTCGATAACTCATCCGACTTGGAAACTTTCCGCTGGGATATGGTCGATATGCAGCGTGTAAATAAATCACGTGACTCACCACTGGCGCCGATGCAAGGTTCCGCTCCGCCAAAGGAACCGTCATTACACGGTACACCCGCGCCAACCATACAAACACAAAGTCAACCCACGCAACAACAACCACTTCCACCGCTGCCGCCGTCTCAAGTGCAACACCTCAGTCAACAACACTCAGAAACCACAGACCGAATTCAAGCACAATCTCCAGTGCCGACGAAACCCCAGGCTTTGCCCAAACCCGTAGTACAGGTACCGACAAGAAGTCCAAGTATTCAGTCGGGGAAGATGGCTGGGAGGAGACCTGGGAGGCCGCCGGGACGTCCTCCAGGACGGCCTCCAGGACGGCCCCCAGGGACCTCAAAAATCCAGATGGTGGCTCCGTCCGCTCCCGCTACCCCGGTTCCTTATCAGGTTTATTCCTGCGAATGGGACACCTGTAACGCTGAACTTCATAACCTGGAAATGCTCGCAAAACATATTTATAAAGTGCATGTACCGTATGCCCTCACCTGTGGATGGAAGGGCTGCACCTGCGATGACAAGT